GTTTTTCACCAAGGGCATCTTCTGCCTTGGTTGTGCTTTTCTTTATTTTTTAATTTGTGGATCTGGGTGTTAAGGTTTTTTTGTTTTGTTTTGTTTAGACACATCTGAAAAATCTATAGGAAGATTCAAAGATCACTCCTGTCAAAGCATTTCATCTTGGCCTTCCCTGGGTATTTTCAGCTTATTGTCATGTATACTCTGCTTGACTACTCACTCCCACTCTCCCCGTGCTCTTTGGTTGTACACTAACGAAAGGCCACTGGCTGCTGGAGCTTACCTTTTAATTAGCACTTCTTTGCACTGTTCAGCCTTTTGGGATCATTCTGGAAAGTCCTTGGTTGGTCTTTGACAGTGGTGATTTGGCAATCCATGAGTCAGTGTTCCATCTTTCTAGAGTCATTGCATGTTGTTTCTTTATTCAAAGTGCTCTTGACGTATGAAAATCCATGGTGCTATAAAACCAGCTACACTTGTGCAGCTGCTTATTTACTGTCTGATTGTATGAACCTCACTGTTATAACTTTGTCAACCTGAATTGCTATAGAAGACTATTTTTTAAAGCCTGTCCTCTTCAATAAGGATTATATGTCGATACTGCTGAAGACTGCTTGCTTTACACTTGAAGAACTTTATTCTTTCATGTGCTACCTGCAACTGGGAAGTACGGTCTCTTTCTACAAGTAGTAAGAGTTGTGAGACTACTGTGAAAGTCTGACTTGTTCATGAATTTCTTTCCTAGATTATTCACTCTTAGAGTTCAGTGGAACTACGTCTTGTGTTTTGAAGACTCTTTAAGTTATTAGTTTAACTTCAGCGCTTTCCTCCTCTCATTTGGGAGAAGCTCTGCTCAAAAGCCTGGAATCAAGTATAAAAGCAGTCTCTTTCAAATGCCGTCAGCTTTATCTGCGATGCCTCATTCAAATCTGGGAAGAGGAATTTGATGCTTAACAGAAATTCATTAAATATTTGGCAATGGTATCCATGAAGAAAAGAAGTCCATCGTATGTTCTTACGTAAACTCTTGGTTTAAGATCTTGGTGAGTTCAGGTACAGGCAAGGAAACAATGTAGGGGTGTGTGGCTACGAAGGCAGTTTTCCTCATGTCAAGTTGTTAATTTGCTGCTAGCGTTATTCCTCTAGGAAAGGGCTGGGATGACAATCTGAGATGCCCTAATCTCCAGGTTTCATGGCCACCATGTGTATATATAGTTTAGGGTTTACAAGACTTTGCTTTCAAACCCATGGTATTTGACAACGTGATACTGCTTTGCATGTGGAATTCTGTAGCTGCAGTGTGTGCTGCCCCTTGTAGCTTTTCGTATCAAGTGATCTTCATGTACCCTGCATATTTAAGATGGGGAGCTATTTAAAGGCAGCTGTTTATCTAGAGATTTGGAAACAGTGTGAAGGATGAGACACAACAGGAAACTGAAGGGTGGAGTGGCTTTCTCTCCCAGGATATGGGAAGCAGTCTTACAAATTGCAGATGAGAAAAGACAGAAAAACATTGTTCAGAGAAATTGAGGGAGCCTGTAAGGGCATCTGTTACAATGAATGGCACATTCTTCCTGTTTTAAACTTAATTGCTCTGAAGTATGTTCTGTTTAGCTGGGGTAAGAGTAATAATCCTGAATGTAACCGGAGCTTTGCTTTACTATCTCTCTCTTTGGCAGTGCAGCAACATGAATGCAAATTGAGACAAGCATTGTTCATACAGAAAGTGCTAAATTATGGGAACTAGAGACTGTCTAATCATGATAATTTTGTGAGATGGATGGAGGGGAATCACTTCTGTGCTTCTGTCTTGCATCCTTTTTGGGTGGCTCACCAAGCTAAGCTGTATGCTTTTCTCATGGGCTAAGGAGAGGTGGTAGTTTACTCCATCTTCAAAAGGGCTGCAACTGGAAGCTGGCTGAGACAGGTAGCTGCTACTTATAGTGAGAACCTTCAAAATTATGAAAAGCAGAAATGAATTGTTAATGTTTGCCCTGAAATACATATATGCTTTTGGGACTCCTCAGAATAACTGTTGTATTATAGATGGGGTGGATTTGGTGAACTCTCAGGTGAGAAAGAAACAGAAGGGAAGACGCTGGTAGTAAGTAAAAGTAGACGAATGTATTAATGGGATGGGGGCAAATTGCTTGGGGGGGGGGGGGGGAA